TTTGTAAGCCTTCTGACGGTCATCGCCTTCACCGTTCATGAACTCGCTGTCTGGAGATTTTACGTGTTGGCCTTTGGATACACGAACGACAGTTTCTGCAGTGAACTTGGCTTTGCTCTTCAAATAATCCAAAAGGGCTTTGATGTTGTCTGTTTCCTCTAGGAATGTCGGTAATGCTTCAACGATCTCCTTGAGTGTGACATCCGTCCGATCCCACCCAAAGCTCAAACAAGCCCTCAGCAAGGATATCTATTGCCCTGTCAACGTTCCAATTGATCCAGTAATTTCCTACGGATGTTAGCCCGTCGCCGGAGTACCGGATGATGATGGACGTGATCAGGGTCAATGAGTCAAACATAATCGTGTCCTTGCTTTCCCATCGCTTTGAAGAGGAGTTTTTGAGGTCGAAACTCTCTGGAAACTTCTTCGCTATCTCTTTCATAACGACCTCCTCGAGGATGTGTCTTATGCCCGGCTTCTTGAGGTCACCGGTACATTTGTCGGTTACGGAAGAATCAAAGCTTCCGAAGTCGGTTGACGCAAATCCGCCGTCTTTGTATTCCCTGTAGAAATGCAGCATGCGGCTGTTCAAACCATGGTGATCTGTACCTTTGATGCTGCGCAACACGAAGTAAGGCAAGCGGAAAATAAGCTCCTCGATAGTTTTATTCATCAAGGATGACATAGCAGTTCCCTGTGGTCCCTTGTGCTGGATCAAACGTGGTTTTATCTTCCCAAGCGTTTCATTGGGCTTCACAAATGCCTTTGTGACAGGCTGTTTGTCCATTTGGGTACCTGATACAGCTTCACCGTTCTCATCAATCATGTTCTGTGTAATGTTGGGTGCAATGTCATCAATCATTTTGTGTATTGGGAACATCGATTTTCCGTGACGTTCAGAGACGACTTCACACATGGGTATGTATGTCGATGACCCTGGCATCTACCCTCTTGATTTCTGCTTCGTTGATGTTCATCAGTGCCTCTGTGACCTCGGAGGCCAGGCAATGAACTGCTCTACGAATCAGTTCGTCAGGGTTGCCAACCAAGTTCTTGAACTCCGAACCTTCGTAAACGACTTCTGTGTGCTTGTGTGCGTAATGCCTGTTACCGAAGCACTGGGTTTAGGGTTTAGGATCTCCAAGGGCCTTGGATGCTTTGAGGTTGAGAGCCTGCCCGCCTGTGCGGGTTCAGCTTTCGGTGCCCAAAGACCTGCAAACAAAGTTTCAACTTTTAACCCCCAAGCCCTCTACCCGAATCTTCCAAAGTGGACATTGATCACTAGAGCCTGAAGCCAAAATACCCTCAACTCCCAAACCAAAACTTGAACAGAAGCCCTGGGCCTCAAGTTCGAAGCTGGGCTGTATGGGGCTTATAATATCATAAGGCCTTCTACAGTTACAGGTTCTCCTTGTTGGGTTTGAGAACTAGCTTCGCCAGCAACCCTTCAACTGTTAATGTGCTTGTATATTATTCCTTGCTCAGCTTTAGACCACGAGAAATAAAAACCCCAAATCCTAAACTGAGGGCACCAGGGGGGTAGGATTCTTCCTTGGCAAACGCCCTCTGAGCAAGTTCGAAGCCCAGGTCATCTTCTGGTTTGGGAGTTTGGGCTCAGGGAGAAGGGGTTAGGGCTGAAGGACTGAGAGTCTCTTGTAATGCCGCAGGAAGTCTTTCTAGAAAGCCAAAAACTCCTTATAGAAACTTCAAGGCCTTATCCCGAGAGCTCGCTCGGCCCGGCATCCGCAGAGGAAGGGAGCTGCTCGATTCGTCGCTGCAGCTGCATCCAACCCTTAGAAATCTCGGTGCTAAGGGCTTCGGGCTCAAAGGATTTATTGAGGTTTTTCAGACAGGTGTCATACGCGTTTATAAAAGCGGTTCGCAGGGGCTTGCACAAGGGTCCTTGGGACGTCAGAAGGAATCAATCATTCAAAGGCTTATAAGGATTCTATAAGGATCATATGATCTTTTTTTGCAGAGTCATAGCTTGGGCGTTGTTTTGTTTTTGAAAGGGGGTGGGGGCAAGGTTTGGGTCCACAAAGTTCTGGCTGTGCTACTGTAGGCCTTATGCTACTGTAGGCCTTAGGGGCTGAGGGAGGCGCATTTCAATTTCCCCCCAATTAATGAATGTGTTTCAGCTTTCAGAGCGGTTTCCAAGATTCGTTCATAGCCTCAAAGCCTCCCAAACAACATGAGGGTCTCCAGTTTTCACAGCCTATGAGAGTTTAGCATTCTGTAAAAAAAAAACATAGGCTTCATATGAGGTTCTATGCTTGAGGATGATCTCTGGTTTGCAGCATCCCTAGACCAGCATCCATTCCTGTGCCAGGGGACCCCCGGCTGCCCCTCAGCACTCGCCTCCCGCATCAGGACCTCCACACGACTGCAGGTTCGAAAGAGGGTTTTTTGAACTTGCCAAACCAAGGTTCCTCCGGTAATTCATCCACATTCCTGCGAAGCCCTACAAAACTCGAGGGAGAGGCCCTATGATGCGGGAAGACAGGAATGAGGGTGCTGCTTTATGGATCATGATGGGCCTTGGCGCCTCCTGGGCCCCTGCACCTTCACATTTAGGGCGTTTGGGGTTGAAGGGCTTAAGAGCTAAGGATTCAACGATTGAGGTTTAGGGCTTAGGGTTGAAGAGCTTAAGGTTTAGGATTGTATGTTTCCACTTTCAGGGCTCTTGGGTTCCTTCAAGGGTTCGATGCTTCTGCAGATGCTTCAAGCTTCTTCAACCGAGAAGCCCGTATAACCGTGTAGAACCTCTGCCCGGGTCATCTAAGCTCTCCCGAATGCCGCCCTGAAACGTGCAGATATCCAAAACTCCTTGAGCCCTGTATCCTATGGTCCTTAGTATCTAAGCAAAATATTCAAATGGCACCGAAATCCTCAATCCTGTTGCAGCTTGGTGATGCAGGTGGGACTGTCTTAAACTTTTTTTTGGGGGGGGGCCTGATTTAGAGGTCCTCGCAATAGCAAGTGGCCTGGGCGACTCTGCCAGGACGATTGTAACGATCTCTAAACTCTAACTCTATTAAACCTGTTATTTCCTGAACCTGGCAGGTCCCTTCACACGACATGCTCTTGGCTGCCGTGCCTGCAGCTTCTGCAGATCGGGTTGACCGAGGTCACCTTGGCTCGCCATGATGCGTCTGACAGCCCTCCACAGGTATTCATACTGCGCACTTCAAGGAGATTGGTTGTAATCATGGGGCAAGAAGGGATTTCAACGAAATCAGTTAGGGTTTCCCACCGGGATTTCTCAATTTCCAAACCCCCAACGACCCTTAAGCCCTCAGGCCTAGAACTTTAGCACTACTCTACTAGAGCTATCCAGATGTACGCTGGAACCGCAATCCCGTTGGCTCCGAATACTCGAAACTGCCAAACTAGATAGTCCTGAATTCCGCCAAACCCTGAACAATAAGCACCCCCGAAGTTCGCCCAATCGTCAACACCCCACAGCAACTGAACCCGGAGTCCAGGTAGCAGTGATGGTAGGACACAAAGATCGCCAGCCTCAGGTGTCACGAAGGGGGCCCTGATATGCATGCGAAGCTGCGAAGCACACTCGCATATAAGCACGCATGAGGGCAGGCATGAAGGTATGAACGTATGCAGGCATGTATGCATGTATGTGTGCATGCACGCATGCATGCATGCATGGACCCATAGATGTATGTATGTGCGTGGTATGTATGTATGTATCTATGTATGTATGTATGTATGTATGTATGTATGTATGTAAGTAAGTATGTATGTCAAATGCATGTATGCATGAAAGAAAGAATGAATGAAATAGTGAATGAATGATTGAACGAGTGAATTTGTGACTGAATACATGAATGAATGAATGAATGAATGAATGAATGAACGAATTAATGAATGAATGAACGAATGCATGCATGTTTGAATTTTGAATGTATGAATGAACGACCGGACACATGAATGAATTTATGAGTGAGTGAACTAATGAATGGGTGGATGGGTGGGTGGATGGATGCATGATGTATGTTATTTTCTACGTATTGAATTTAAACAGACACGAACACGCAGAGAGCACGCACTGACCGCACAAGCAAAAACCAGAAACCCCTGGAATACACATGCAATCTCTTCAAAGAGCCAAGTGTGCCGTCCAGCAGCGGGCTAGCATCGCAACCGATGGCTTCTTTCCCCTCGCTGGCTTTGGGGCAGAGAGCTTCGCGGATCCGTAGGAGCAATGTGGGATACTCGCACACAGCCGGATAGTTAAAACCTCCATCAGTAGCTCAGTTGCCTTGAGGCTGTTCCGATAGAGATCCTGTTCATCCTCGCTCCCAAAAGCAATACTGGTAAAGCTATTTGAAACCTAGGCGTTGGAACTCCCCTGTGCAGCCAGGCTGCAGCAGCCAGTGCTTCGATAAGGACAGCACCTTCTGCTGCTCTTTGGGTCGGGGGTGTTTGGGGCTGTGTGAGGGAAAAGGCTTCAGAAGCCTTAGGACATGGAACTCTGATGTTAGAAGGCCTTAACATGAGTGAACTGATAGCTGGTAGGACTTTGGGTGTTGAGGCAAAGTGTGGTTTTCCTTTCACTATGTGGGCCCTCTGAGCCCCGGAAAAGTATTCGGAAATAAGATCGTCTGACGTCCAATAAGGGGAAATAGAAAAGATCCCAAAGGCCTACCTAAGGCCTTAGCCCTGAACCCGTAAAGGAACCTTTAAAGGAGACGTCAGGAGCCCTGAAGGGAGCCCTTAACGGAGAGCTCTTAAAGAAACGTTCGTCTTTGTTCCTTGGAGGAGCCCTGTTTCCGAGGTTTGGGACCGAGAAATCTTATCGGGCAGCGGTAGGAGAGGTTTTCTGGACTCTAGAAAACAAAGGGGTCCCCTAACATGATATTTATACGGGCCGGTTTGAATAATGAGAAAAACTACTAACTAACCGAATTCACCTGAAAACGATTGTCTAAATTAGTTCATCCCCACGCCAATTTAAATACAATTCAGTTGAATTCCAATATTTACATTACTTCGATAATGAAACAATGAGCAAGACAAATACTAATCACAATGATACTAATAATATTAATCATGAGGAACCTATCACTTGCAGCATGTACGGATTGCGGTGTGCACTGTGTAGGGACAAGTCTGCACAAGGCGCCTGAGCCGCAAAAGGGATCTAAGATCGTCTGGGCCCCCGGAACGGCGTCCAACATAAGGCGCACCTTAACTTCGACTCGCACACTCGCTCGCTCGAGGCAGGCACGGCTTCCAGACACTTCCACAACTAGAGCATCTCACCACACAGCTGTGCGCCAGTCCCCCAACCGTCAACAACCCTCAAAAACAAACCAACACACCAGAGACCCTAACATTTAGGTTCAAGCTCTCGCAACTCGAACAAGCCAGGTCCTTGGTTAAGGGTGAAGGAGTCTTTAAACTATAGGCCCATTATATACAGGAGCACTGATGACATGTACAATGCGTCATAACAGCAAGAGGAACCGGGTGTCCACTCCCTACTTGCCTAAACGCTGGGCTCCAGGACTTCCGGATCGGCCTGAGATTTTTCGTGCCTACGACTCTATTTTTTAGGCTTCGGCTGTTGGGGTTAGAGGTTTCGCGATTTGGGAGACAGGGCTTCGAGAGAGGAATGCAATGTCTTGTGATTCACTCCCGACATCCTTCGTGACGGAAAGAGCCTAAAGTAAACAAATGGTCGAAGGCACTTAGCTCCAGGTGCAAATCCCAAAGCCCTGAAAGCCCTAGGCCCTAAAGCCTAAATCCTTTGCCGTACTTTCCTAATTTCAACCTTGCAAAGCCATAGCTAAGTACTTGCTACCTTCAGACATTTGGAGTCTTCAGGATCTCCTTGGGGCCCCTGCTGTCATGGGCTGCATGCCCGAGATATACCTGACGTGCAAGTGTAGGTGTCAGCTGGTTTCTGAAGGGATTGGGCTTCGGATTTAGGGATGGGTTGGGACATAGTACAAGCCCCTGGGGAATTCCACAATGCCACAGCGGACTTTAGACCTAGGAAAACTTGCAATCACATGTAAGCTTGGCCGGAACAAGGCAAGGGCAGGGTCTAGGTGTTCAGGGGTATAGGGCTTCACCCCCTCCGCACCCCGCACGTCTTGTCGGGCAGCTTTCGGCCCCAAAGAGCTGCGCTAGAAAGGTTCTGAACCCTTCGATGTTTAGGAAAGCTTTTGCAACAATGGTGACGAGGCAAGTTTGGCTTGCCCCTGCAGTCGGCTACGAACAGCTAGAAAATTATTAAAATCTTGAGACAGTTAGCCGCTAAGCCCTGAACGTTGGGTCTAAATTCGAACAGGCCTCAATCGACGAATCCTGAAACAAAGAAAACCCTTGACACCGTCAACCCCAACAGCTGACAAGACTCTGAACACTCAAGCAGACTTCCCAAAAGCCTAGCAAACCCCGAAAAGTGTTGAACAACAGTTGGTAACCACTGAAAAACCGAAAACCCCCAACAAGCCCAAGTGAAGGCCACTAAGGAGCTGGTAGGTCCCGTGCGTGAGCTGAGGGAAGCCCGGGGCCGCCCTGGCGCAGCCGGCATGAAATCAGCATACATGGATACACACATGCATGTCTACATGCCGACATGCGTACATGTAACTATATATGTATAGAGATGCGTGTAGCATATACGCTTTAAATATACTTATAATATAATATATGTATTGTATGCAGATGTGTATGTATATATATATATATTATATATATATATATACATACCTCTTTATTCATCTATTTATATGCATGTGTGTGTGTGTGCGCATGCGAATTTTCCTTTTTTGGTTTTGGTCTTCTGGGGTCTAATCGCGTGGCTCTGTACGGTCTGGGGGTTTCTGGAAGACACGGTTTAATATTCACGACGCTGGATTCAGCTACTGTTTTCCTATCTGCGAAATACTATATATATATATATACACAAGCGGTGAGAGTTCTGTATCAGTAAATTGTCTTTGGGTCTTATGACCTTTTCGTGAGATACTCTGAGTGCGTGATTCTCGGCATAAGCTAGGATGCACGAGATTCTGCCGTAACTGCAGTAACATCGTACCCTAATGTTCGGGCACCTGTACAGTAAGTGTTGTGCATTGACTGCAAGACATACAGGGTTACCCCTGAGGTCTATGTAGGAAACTCTTCAAGGCTATGGTGTATGCAATGCAAACGGACCCATAGGGGCTGGGTTTAGTCCATTATGCCCTTTCTCCTGGCTTCTCAGGGTGCGGCTTCTCTCTGCAGCATTTTGGAAAATAGTGTTTAAAATGTAAAAAACCTAAAATTTAAGAGTTCGCATCTTCGCGATCCCAACTCCTACAGCTTGCGTTTTGTCCTCGGGGTATCAACGGTGGGTAGTGGAAGCGGGCGGTTTGCTAGTTGTAAACTACTCCAACTCCCGTCAAGTTTGAATCGTGAAGGTTACATTTGCAATGCGAGCGTGGGCTTCGGTCCAACAATATTGCGCACTTACTAGTGGCTAGTGCTCTGGCGGCATGGTTGCTGCTGCCCCTTGATGCGAAACCCACGGCTGCATTTGTCACCATGCTACATAATTCTTTCTTGGGTCCTTGTTCTTTGGTGATGCCCTCACACAAGCGCCCAAATCCCAAAATCCCAAAGCGCAACCTGAGCTGGAATCCGAAGGCCTTTGAACAGCCTTACACGCTGTAAACTTGACCGACAGCAAGTGCTCAAGACGCCAGAGCATAAAGCGCAAGACATCTGTGACCAAAGCCCTGCAAACCTTTGCCATACACCAAAAGTCAAAGTTGAAACCCGAATGGCTTTCACGATCTAGGGTGCCGCTGTTCAGCACCGACGTGATGCGAATGCTAGCCCACAAGCCTACAAATTCAGGAATCCAAACCCCAAATCCCGGCGCCCTGTGGACGCCTCGGATAGCCTTGCACTGCGGGGCGCTTGGGGCGTTCGAACTCTATTCAAAACCCTGGTTGGGTTTCATAATACTGGTATAGTTTAAGTACAGTATAGTATATACCTATTATATACCTGGTAGTTCAAGTACAGTATAGTATACCTATAGTGTAGCTCGTTATGCCAGCTTTGATCTGTCTTAAATTCCATCTCGGCCTTCCGGTTTTTAGAGAACTGAACCCAAGTCAAACCAAACAGAACCCAGCACTTTCCAAGACAGGGCAGCAATAATTTGAAGAGGGTTTGGGCGATAGGGAAGTCCCTGTGTTACAAGAAGGGCAGTGGGGCGACATCGGCACTACTTGTGCAGACTTCTGTTTCGATCCTGCGGCCTAACTGGCCTAACTTGTCCAGATTCAAGCCCAACCCCTTATAGGAATACTGGGATTTGGGACACAGGATTTAAGGTATAAGTGGGGGCCTACGGTTTCACTGTTTAGGTTAGGTTCTGTGGTTTGGACTTTAGTGAAAGGGACAACCTCGCACACACAACGGTATAGTATGAAACAGAACCCATGCACGAGTACGTGCATACAAAGCGATCCCAGCAATTTCGTAATGCCAAAACCTCGAAGTTCACCTTGCTTCCGCCAAGCAACATCATCCTTTTAAACGCTTGTGTGCGGGACCGAAGTTTTTCCCAGCAGGTTATACGTTCCCTCCGAAGAACAAAGCCCAACCCTATCCACGTCCCCGCGCCAAGGGGCCGTAGATCCACTGTGCCTCGAGCGCCTGCTGCATCAGCTCGACCAATTTCGCATCCCCACGGCCACGGAAACGGTAGAGGGCCTAGGCTGGGTCAAGGATTTAGGATGTACCTCAAGCCTACCGTTTCATTAAGGCATTAGTGTTTCTTACTAGGTCTCCGGGGTCTAGGACCAAGTATGACTTGTTGGGGGACTACAATGACACGGGGATAACAGTATGAATCAAACAGACCCGTTTAGTAAGGTTTGGTTCCGGGATTCCGGGGGCTAGCAGGTCGATTACTTTAAAGTGCGCAAGAATTTCCCGTGGATACTAGGATAAACGATGAGGGTCAACATGTGCAGCAACGTTGCCGTAAGGGCGGCAATCTGCACGCTGGTCTGTGTATCCTTCATCCCCGCCGTCACGATATTCACCACATAATCATGGCCACGATAGCAAAGTTGGTAGGAGTGCTTGCGGCTGATCTGAACGCAGGTTCCCATCCACTGACAGTCTTCTTTATCATTCCCGCTTGAGCGGGGCAAACCTCGCTTACATAAATAGTGTAGACGCTGATTCTTCAAGGGCCTTCACATAAGGATGCCGAGTGGATGTCAAAATGTTACAATTCTATGATGACACATTGCGAAGACATGGAGGGAGTATTGCCTTACATTCGGACCCCTTCCTTCTGCGACGCCATCGAAACTCCTTCGGTGCGATGTCTTTGGAGCATTACAAACCGGGCAATCTTAAATCCTGGAGCCTGAACCTCACTGCCTGAAGACCAGTTGCTCTTCTCAGTGGGCTGCCGGTCCTCTCGCAACGATGGGTACTCCGGATGTACGGGTTTGAGCATTCAAAGGTTGGGGACTACGGGACTAGTTAGGGCTGCTGACAAGCTTGGGGTTCAATCAACCAAGCAGTGCCCGCAGCCGCAGCGATGGGCTTGAGGTTCCTATTTTGGGCGTCCTTGAACCCGCAACCGCGAACCACAAGCCCATAACCCTGGTCCACACTCAACCGGTACCTGAAATCCGAACCACCCCTTCTGGCAGCCTTGATGGTGAATCTGCTGCATCAACTCGGGGAAGCAGCTCCTGCTGCGGAAGGCTCCCACCAGATCTTACCATACAGGGGGTCAGTGATGCATGGATACATGGAGGAATCCGTTCCACAAGGATCCTACTGTTATCAGAGACGCAATCACCAAATCTCGTCATGAGTTATGGGACTGTATGCCGCAGATGCTACATCAGCATTATGGCTAGATCGGGGTCATCACCACTCGAACCTTCAGAAGGAGACTGTGATTGTCTTCAACACTTTCTCCGACCCTCCTCTGTCAGGCATATTGCCTCGCGAGTCCTCGCATGCCACGAAGTCCGGGACGGGCTCTGGAAGGGGCGAGGGCATTGAAATCTCTCCCAAAAGCAAGTATCCCACATCCAAATCCCTGAAGCCCTCACTAAAGTAGCAACTCCCGGAAACCTTACAACTCATCCTCATGCCCTGCATCCCCGAAGCCCCGAAGCCCTTTTTGCCAACGGACCCTGAGCCCTCAACCCTAAAACACAGAAGTATCCCGAACCAAGCATCGATCACAAGGGCTTCGGTGCGGCTCCTTATACATTTAAGGGCTTCCAAAGCCTACACTCCTACGACTGCTACACCGTAAGGGCCTCCGAAAGACGCCCCCGACCCTAAAACCCAAAAACCTAACGTTGAATCCCTAAAGCTCCCCCGTCCAACATCTTACATCCTAATATACGAAGCCCGGAGACCTTTATCCTCTAAGCCATAAGCTTATTACTTTTCTTTAGGGATCGGTTGGCCCTTAAAGCCTCTGAAACAGATTCGTGAATAAGATCCTCCTAAGCCCATGGTGGAAAAAAACAAACGAATTATGCAACATGCCATTATACTAGACCATACTAGACCCTAACCGTAACCCCGAATACGTAACCAGACTAGAACACAGTCAACTCCTCAGACCGGCCTTCGGGATCGGCAAGCCATCCTGTTCTCAAGAAGGTCCCCTATGGGGTCCCTTGTGGGCTTACGTCCTCGCAACTCGGGGCGCTGCCAGACGAGAGGATTCAGGGTTTAGGGCTTATAGAAGGTGTTAGGGCTTTGAGTTTAGGGTTTAGGGTCAACCCTAAACCCTCACAGGGTCTCGCTTGCTCTTAGCGGGCTTCAGAGTTGAGACAGCCAAAACAAGAAGATCGCTTTGTTTGGGCCTTAGGGTTCAGGGTGGCTTACACGGGGCTTTACGGCTTCGTGGTTCTGTCTCTTAGTTGCTGTTTGAAAGGGGGTGTTCTCTGAAATGCTGTAAGTAGCCTCAAGATCATGTAAAGTATTTGGAGTGAGGGCAGTTCTCTACATTGGGTCAGAGCGGGCTCGCATAAAGGAGTCTTGAGGAGACCTTAATTAGTCAGAGTCGCGCTACCATACTTGGAGTTGTAGCGGATGCGAATTTGGTGGCATCTTGAACTATAAGCTCCTTACCAGCCTTACCAAGGACCCAGACAAGCAGTCCTCCTTGCGCATGTCGAATGAGCTAGTTCGCACGTGCTCTGTTTGGATCGTCTGAGACGAAATTGAAGCCAGAGAGGTTCAGGCCACGGAATCCTATACTTTGTAGGGCCGATTATTCGGATCCCTCTTTTCCAAACCGGAACCGCTACAGTAAGAGGTTGCTAACTCATTCAGAATCCTTGCATGAATCACCAGCACGTCAGATCCAGCAGCCTACACTTACAGTACACCGAAAAAGCAAATCCTAAGCCGAGCCCACAAAGCCCAAACAGCAAATCCTAGAGACGTAAAGTCCAAAACCTCGAACCCCAATCCTCACTTGCACTCGTAGCTCTAAAGTTTAGGACTCTGAAAGCCCCCGTAAGACATACGACACCCCCATTGAAACCCTGCATGAACCCTATATCAAAACCAGAGAATCCAAATGCTGCGGATAGTTTGTATATCTATATATACACTCAGTATTGGATATGAGCATGTAGAGAAACCCTTGCTTGGTTTAAGGCCTTGTACCCTAAGCCCCTAAGCCCCACACCCCTAAATTGGAGGCCTCAAACGGTGGGATGTAGGGATGAAGGATCCCTCATACACGGACTCTTATGTTGGGATTACCCCACCTACCTTCATCCCACGGACCTTCGGAGCCCTTTGACCACAAGACCCCGCAACACCCTGCACCTGGAAGAGTTCCAGCAGCCGCTGCTCTGCCAACTCAGGCTCTTCGGTTCTCGCAAAGGCCTTCAGCACGCCTGGTGGAGCTTCAGGGTTAACCGTTCTTTTTTATAAGGGGTATAAGTTATAAGGGCTTAGATGGGTCTAGATGAACTTAGCGGTTTAACTCGTTGGGGGTTTAGGGGTTGAGTGGTTTCAGGGGTCCTTTTCCCTCTCGCGCGGCAGGAAGAGGTTCCGAGGTCTTCTTGGTTGAAGTTAAAGGCTTCGGCTTAGGAAGGGTGCAGGGACTGCAGTGCAAACCCTAAACCCCCTAAACCCCTAAAAACCCTATTGAAACCCTAAGCCACTAGTATGGGCATTATGGGCTTTTAGCACCCCAGAGACTTCGGCGGCTGTTCTTTGCAGTTGGGGGGGGGGGGCCCTCTTTGTGCTCACCAGGCGTCGGGATCTCCGGGTTTGGGGCTGGAGTTGCGGCATTTGGCCTTCGGGTTTCAGACTTTACGTGCTCTCGACTCTCACACTCGCAAGGCTTCTCATTTTACATGCTTTAGCGGTTGGGGCTTGTAAGTTTCAGCTCACCTAACATGTCGACATACCCGAGCGGAGGACCTCGCTGTTGGGTCACAGCTGGTTTTCCACCATCCGGAGCTCAAGTCCCGTATACCTCTACCAGAACTGGAGCCAAAAAAACGCATGCGAAGGCTATGACCCTTGCAACTTCACCCCGAAGACGCCAGTAAGGGCCCTGAACCTAGCGCCATCCGGCGGCTGCTGGTCGACGCGGCCGTTGGCTCCAAACTCCGGAGGCGCATCTCTTGAAGAAAGTGCCAGGCCTCTCGGACCCATCGGTTTAGGTTCAATGGCTTTCGCGTTTTTCCTGTGCCTCTTATCCACGACACTATGCATTTGCACAGCCCATCTACGGACATGATTAACCCGTACATGCACGCGACATCACTTGGAAGCAGAATCTCGCGTTGGAGATGCATTGGATTAAGATACATCCAGATTATACAGTAGCAGGGCTGTCATCTCTCTGCGCAAGCCTACCGTTGTTCGCTCACTGTTAAGATCTTCAGGTTTTGGGGAACACCCCGAAGCGGCCTGCTCAGCTTTCCCGTCTTCTGCACAGGCATTAATGACACCTGGTTCGAGTTGTTTCGGTTCGCTAGACTTTTTCCGGTTCAAGAAAGCCAAATAATTTCCAAAAGTTGAACTTCATGAGTGGCCCTTGAACCGGCTTGGGGCTACTTAAGCCTAAGGCATGCAGCATAGTCTTCCTTAGAATCAGTTGGAATTTCGTTGTGATGCGCTGCCTTCCATCACATGGAAACTAAAGTACAAGGTCTGAGGACCTTCGGGCTCAGAGGGCGAAGTGAGCTGGTTTCGAGCCTCGGGGTCTCAACTTAGGATTGCTTTTGGACGGGGACGCGTGGACGAAAAGGTCACGGCTTGGATTCATAGAATATGATGCCTATAACCACCTGTACCGACATGGTGAAGGCCATGACCGTGATATAAATCCGACACCCTGGCTTCGATGAAGCGTTTGGCCAACAGAACCCGAGCAGACGTGCATTGCCAGAGTCTTCTGCGGAGTGCTGCTTCTTAGCTGCTTCTGAAGCCAGAGGCGTTTTCCGGGTTTCAGGAAATGACGAATGCCCCCCCTTCTCCGCCCCTGCGCACAAGATCAAAACAACACACACACACATATATATATATATTATATATATATACACATAAATATATATATATATATATATACATATATATATTTATTTATTTATTTATTTATATACATGTATGTATATTTTTACACAGGAAGTCAGCACACATTGGACACGTCTTTGCATGCAGCGCAATGTCTTCTTGCGAGTCTCGCGAACAGAGTTGCTTTTGGACAAAACTAAGATGTTTGTGGGGACAGCATCGGCCAAGTGGAGGTTAAAGGCGCAGTCGACAGCAAGGCAGGAGAAGGTTTCCTGGTTTAGACAGCTTGCACTCTGTCATACTTGATGGCCTGCTTGGGGTAAGTGTACCGCGGAAGAATATGTACCCTCAGTGAAGTTGTAGGGGTTGTTCAAAGATGGGAATTCCAGGTGTCCTGTCCTGCAATGGCAGCTATCATGTATTATGTATGGTACACCCCGTGCATTAGCAGCAACAAGTAAAGGGAAACCCTCCCAGGAAATTCATCCATGAACCTGAACCTAGCCGAAGGCGCAAGGAAGTATAATGCCAAGATGCTGTTGAAGGTGACTTCGTCTGCCTGGCCACGAATTGTTTAGGTGATGCGAGTAAAAAAGCACCAGCATAAGGGGAGCACCCTCTTGCTGCATTTCGACTGTCAGACCTGACGTATGCACTGGATGGCGGTCTCCCAATTTGTCCCGGCGCATGGTCTAAGTCGGCAATCACTTCAACTTGCATGGAGGCACTAGCATCCTGGAAACTGTTCCCTTGAAGTCGCCGTTATCTTGTCGCAGTTAGCATGCCTTGAAGTCGACAGCGATACATGCAAATCCGCGGTCCGTGCGGAGATTCATGTATGCATTATGTAGTCATCTACCAATGTAATTCATGTATGTCTCCTATTTTACATATGCACACACGTAGAACCACGTAGCTAAGGCCCCCTACAACCCAAGTCCACATACCCTCAAACACCAGCTCCCAAGACCTGAGAGGACCAGCCCTCAAGCCTCAACCCCGATACCCGAGGGCTTACCAAGTATCCACAGCAGCACCACCAACACCACTGCCACTGACAATTCGCTGGGTTTCTAGAGATACAGAAGCCTGAATAATCATCATCGGGTGTGGAGAGTTTCTATAATTCGCCTCGGCCCCCGGCCGAAGCGGTCAGAGGTTCCTATTCGGTATTCCTCTATTCCCCACCTCTTAATCCCCTCCCCGGTGAGTGACCCGCCCCTCCAAAGGGCCCAGGAGGGGGGGGGGTCCCTCTGTGTAAATGGGCCCCAGGGTGCTGTGCTGAAATCTCGCCTCCTCACTCACCCCACACCCCCCCTAGGAAGTTGATACGCAAGTTGATACACAAGCTCCTCCCCTTCCGGGTCTTCGTCCGCTCCGCCAACGGCGCCCAGCAGCTCGTTGGCCCTCTTTGTTTGCGGCCGGGCCGAGGCGGACGACGCGAAGCGTTTAAAATTACTGTAGGACACGTACTAGAAACCCTAGGGACAACATAACCAATGATTCAGCTCTGCATGCTAGGGTACGGGATCTGTCCGAACATGCCGAAACTAACCCCGCAGCCTGAGACTTTGGACAACACCCAGATATATGTCTATATACATACATACATACATACATACATACATACATACATACATACATACATTTATAACTGTACGTGTATATATATATATATATATGTATTCATTCATCTATTTATATGCATACTTATATTTTGTATCTATATCATGTCTTTACTTATCTCTTCATTGTTACATATTTTTCCAACCCTCTCCGACGCTTGCACTCGGCAGGTCAGGGCACTAGCAAAATCCTCGAAACCCAGCCCGCATAGCACACACTGATGGCCACACCTCTTGGAGACAGGCTCAAAGTTACATATGAAAGTACATATGAAATTCGATTCCATTCTGTTCAGCTCTATTCTGCTCAATTATATGCATATAGAACATTTTTGGAGGAGGGGCTGCAGTGTATAAAACCCATTGCCATGTAAGCCTTGAGCCCAAAAACAAAAGGCCGCAAGTCCCACCTGAACCTCGCGCTGGCTCATGACCTCCAACCAGAACATCGCTCCTTGCTGTCTCTTTTGGTTGAAAGAAGAGCCTTTAAACTTAGACTACCCTAAGTTAGCTCCATTTACCCATCCAGTATATACTTAGGCCTTGAAAGGGTTGCAATATAGGGACTTTACGGCCTATGTATATACTATACAGTACACGGGGCCTTTGGGGATATATTGGAAAGGCATTCTCTCACAGGGGCTACAAGCGGATATTCTTTGTGGAGGGATGCCGGACTTAGGGCTTTAGTAGTTTTTGTTCCACTTTAGTGTTTAGGCTTTACGGATGCTCGAAAGTACGCGGGAACCTCGAGGCCCTTCTACGCCCCCCTGGCATACTACCAAACAATTTCAAGTCTGCGCTGGACTTGTGCTTTTAATTGGCAGTTCCCCTTGCAGGAATCCGCAAAAACAACAGCAGGAGATAGGCTTTCCTTACTGCAATCCCTACTGCGGTACTGCTCGCAAACCGCCCTTCGCCTTCCTATGCAGAATCCCTGGAGTGCGGCTATGTGGCGTGAGGCACACCCACATCGCGCACAAGCGTTGATGACCTCAGGAGATTCTCCGAGAGAGACGCCGGGATCCCTAACCCAAAGGATCCTACGAGTAGCCTGATTGAGCCGTCTCGGGCTCTTGGGATCGAAGCCAGTGGCCACCGCAAACCCGAGCACGATTCGGGACGGGGACCGCAGATTGCTCCGAGCAACTCCGTTGAAGCTCATCAAATCCGGCCGCAGGTTCATGTCCGTCCTGCTGAAAGGAACAAACAGTGAGGGTTCAGGGCTTTGCAGGGACTTTAGGGGTCAGTGTCCCAAGAAAGGCTAGGCAAGGCAGGGCAGAAGGCCAAAAGTCGTAGCCGAGCCTCGCCCTCTCCAGCCACTCTTCCGCTCTCTTCAGCTCGCCAGCTTGGGAGCATGCATTTATCACACCTGCGGCGGGGCACGCAGGAGGTGAAGCAGGGCAGGAGGACGGTGTTGGGGCCAGGCGCTGCTATGTCCACCGCTACCAACACCGCTGTCGCAGTCACACACACACACAAGAAAACAGCCAACACAGCAAAGTAGTGCCACAAGCCAACGGGCTTCATGCCGCTACGCCAAGCCAAAGAGCGAACGTCATGCTGCGAGGAGTTGGACTAACATTAAAATTGGGATTGGCAAGCTATCGCAGGACCCCACACGCCTACTATCCTAGTCCTGGAAAATAAATTTAATCGTGAGACCTGCTCTTGCCCACCAAACCGAGAGCCCATGTTTCGACTAACTACCGTCCTCGGGAAAAGTGCTATTGCTCTGCGACAGCCAGAGCTGTTGAGAGTTAGCAACAAAAAACCTCAGTTACAGCTTCTGTTCTCGGTTGTCTTATCCTCTTGTTGCAGGTCCCTAGCCATAAAGTCAGTCACCAACACATCGGTATCTAGGCAGCTTGGGGCTTCTGGTAGCTTCTTTCTTGGGCTCCACCTAAATTCAGACAGTCTCGAGCACCTTGATCCCTAAGAGCTGCAGTCCCTAAGCCTTACCCTGAGGCTCCAGAAAGCACTAAATAAATGTTGGAGCTGTTGGGCTTACCATATCATACTAGATACTATATGGGGTCTTTGGTTCTGTCTTAGGCCTGAGTGTTGGAGGTCCTCAAACCTCTGCATCTTTTGCATCCGGATCTGGGGCACAGACTCTGAACCCTTCACTGCCTATCTTTCATTGAAGTGCGAGTGAGAAATGGAGCAGTACTCCCATACGGTCCCTATAGATTTCCGTGCAAACCAGCACAAGGTGCTGTGTTATCCGGGTTTTGTCTGCAAGCGGCTGTTCACAACAACGATGTTCGGCGACAGCTGCAGAGTTTTCAGCTCCCGTAGGCACTCTTCGGCACCTTTCGGTCCAAGAGTGTCACTTAGGCCGCAACCCTGAAGCTTCTCAAGGAGTCTACGGGTTCTCAAGGTTGCTTAAGGTTTCCTGATTCTTGAGAGTCCAAACGCCTAAGAATCGTTTAGCCCGGCAGGTACTAGCCTGTATTACTGTTGTACCACCATCTTCAATACAGGTGCCAGGTATCCTTTGGACCCTTAGATTGGGCTTGGGGCTCAGGATGTGGGGGTACGGGCCTGGAATCTGTGTGTCAGGAGGCAAACCGGGCAAGAGACTGCAAACTACCTGCAGTACTCTTTCTCCCTCGTTTTGTCTCTCTCGCTCCCTCGTGTTTGCGTCGTCCTCTTACATCCTGTCTTCGAGACAAATCTTGCCTGGCGGTGCAGGGGTCATAACTTTTGGAGTGTGTATCAAGGCATCTGAAATTAAATCTGTAACAGCTGGATTCGCCTCATCTTCCAATAATGAGTGCAAACTAAAGGACAGCTTTTGGCTGGCCATTGACCCACGCTGTTTAGTTTGCACACCCCACAATCTAAGTCTAGCAACACCGAAGTCTTGTACTGGACAGCAAAGAGCTTCCGAGGAACTCCTTGTAACTGCGCCTGTTGCGAGTGCTTAAGCCAGCACCACACACGACATGTTCGTTCATGGAGTCATTTCCCTGTGCCGAAAGGAATGACGCTATGTTCGGGATTGTTCGGGTTCGGACGCCCTGCATTCTGGGCTACTCACCATACCAGAAACTTCCAGAAACCCATACTCCAATGGCCATCGAACAAGTGACGAATGAATCGGCCCTGCTTGGCATTGGCATTCGCCAGATTGCCTTCGCTGTGCTGGCGACGCAGTCCGAGTCTAGCTACTTACAACCGAAACTGAACAACAACTTCAATAGTACTGCGTACTCTCTGAGCTGTGGATGATTCAACCACAACCTGAATCTAAACGAAGTGATTCAACGGCAGCTTGCCCAGCGTCACGATGTCGGGCGCGAGCCCTCGTTGCTTCATCTTCCGGAACCACACATCGGCTTTATCCGCCTGGCTATGCCCCTACTGCCTTAGCGTGTACTTCAATGGACTTCAAGGTTGAGGCGTGAGGCGTTCAGGTTGAAAGGTTTAGAAACGAGGCCCCCACTATCATGATTGTTCTTTGATCATGGTTATTGTCCAGACGACCCCTGAATCAAGTGCTTGCCAAGTGAGAAACGAAAGCACGAGGATGACCAGCACAAAATGCACCCATGAAACGAGTTAACTTCCAGATCAAATCAGGAAGTCGCGGCTCTTGATTTTGCAAGATGTGTGATGCATGAGGTCAGATCAAGCCGTGTGCAGGTTCACGTGAGCACGCTCCCGCCTTCCCAACCTGGTCTTCGTGCTAAAGTCAATGTCTTTGTGTTTCGGATTGGTATTCCATTGCTAAGGGATGTTTAGGGCTTCTGGGGATTAAGGAATCGCTGCTGCAGTTAGGATTGCTGTAGCTGCATCATTTTCACAGTTGTCACATCCCGACTTGTGCGCCTCCCCAGCGAGGGCACACCTCGGCTTTTTGGTTTAGTAGTGAAAAGGAATACGATCGCCGATCATGATCAGTAGATCCTCGCAAACGGGACATAAGGGCATACTGGTAGTAAGTTGTCAAACCTTTATTTATTCGTACGAGTAGCAGGCTATTGAGATAAGGGTACGGCATAGTACGACACAGACGCTACTGCAACTACCTGCCTCTGCAAGGAACAGCAACCGTAACCCACTGCAACAGCTACTGGGCTCCTAGGTCCTAGGCGGGAACCTGACCACGGTGGGCGCAAGAGTTTGCAGAAGCTCCACCATCTGGTCTTCTGAAGAAAGTAGGACTTACAGGTGTAGCCTAGAAAACTCACCGCAGCTGCCATCGATTCATATATGAAGCCTAGACTCTCTTAAACCTTAATCTTGAAAACCCCAAGACCTGAAGGAACCCCGCAGAAGTTCGAGCTGCAGTCGAAGCTGAAGGGCAGAGTATTTCACCGGTCTCTGTTTCGCCCGGATTTTTAGGTTTCGGGTCTTGGTGCCTCAGGGTTCGTTATTACTGGGTTTGAGGTAGACCCCACTCTGGAACTCCCCAACTTTAAACCCTAAAGACTTAGTACCGCACAAAGTGGGGCACGTTTTCGGCTGCCGATGATGAACAGTGAGCCAGGGTGCGACTGCAGCACCGTGTTGAACATCTGAACGCTGAGGTGCAGCCCAACCTCAATCCTGACAAGGCTCAGTCTTTGATGCATGGGGGTTCTGTTTTGGATTCGATGGCTTCTAAACATGATTTTCGGGTCGAGTTGTACGGTTTGTGGTTCTGGCAACGGAGAACCTGTAACCTGCCAACATCAAGACTCGTCGAAGAGGCGGTAAGTATACGCTACAAGCATCGCAATACAATAAACACACAGGTATTAATACATTATACTACATTATATATATATATATATACACACACATATATATATATATATATGTATTAACCGACAAGCCATGCGACCTCCAAGATGCAAACACTCTTTGACTCGACTTGCCCTAGAAGCCCAGGTGGCTATTTAGTCGGTGACTGTCTTCGGGCCCTCGATGAACCCTCCTGTTTCACCACCTTCTGAGGAACAGCCTGGACCATTCATTATGCTTCGAATGTTGGAAGCTTCCAAGAGCAGGTTCAAGTGCCGTGATCTTAGAACCTTCGGGTTAGCATCCCGCGTATAGATGCACGGTAGACATGGGGAATGGTGGAACAGATTCATGAAAAATGATAGAAACAAACAAAAACGTTCACTCCGGTAATCTCATGAATGTGCGATCATTATCAGGGCCATTAGGCGAATCCCGGTGTTGTTTCGGAAAGGTCTCCCGACACGGCTAGCGGCTGATGTGCTCGGACGTCTAGATTTAGAAGAGTTCAGGCTTTAAGGCTGTATGAAGCCGAACCCTTCGCAGGAGGGTTTACTGTCGGGGTGCAAAATGAGGGGTCCCATAGCTTCTGGTTCAGGGTGTAGTGTAACTACCAACTCTGGCATGAGCCAGACAAGATCTTGCTGAGCTGCCGTGCTGAAACTCTGCTCGCTTGCCACACCGGGCGCTATACCGCCGATCTGTAGGAAGAAAAGTCTCAGGTTATCGACGCTTTTGAAACCCTATAAACCCCAAAACCTGTAGGGCTGTAGAGTTTAGCGTTTAGGATCGAAGCCCGAACTGCTCTATAGTGCAGTGCAATTCACAATCTTCGGCCAGGCTTCGCTCTGTTCATCCAGCGCTCTGCCCCAGCCGGATCTGCCTCCTTTGCCCATGCCTCTGTCGAACCCTAGCGCCTTAATCCGGATTAGCACTTGCAAACGAGTGGTCCTCTGCATTTTGGACGGTGGGGGGGCATCACAGCTGGGCCGCAACCCAATCATACTAGAGTTCCGGGGTCCCCTCTACGATAGCATATCGGTAATTTATTGTATCTGACTATACTTACGGCAACTAAACCCTGTTGTAACCAACGGTGTCATAGCCTCATGGCCCGTAGTATACATGCAAGTCAACTGAAGCAGGCCGTAGCATGTGGGAATCATGCCAGGGCCAAAACCTAAAATGTAACAAACGTAGACCAAGCCTAACAGAGATGCTGCTGGTGTCCAGTGCGGCAGCTGATTGGGCATCGAACCGCTTGGGGGCTCTTCCTACCGGGCGTTCTGGGGTGAATGGAAAAGCAGCCTCCTGCTTGGAGGCCGAGAGACCTCTGATCCAAAGTCAAAACAGTTGTTCTCGGAGCCAGGGGGGAAGAAGGGTTTGCGCTTTAGGCCCAGCTTTGGATTTAACTGGAGGGACGACAGAAGACCGGGTTCGTAGACCGTTCAAGCAACGCAAGCAATGGCCACCACCAAGAACGGACGCGGCAATTGCGACACAAAGGCCCTGTAGCATTGCACTTCAAGCTCCACAAAGATCCTTTTCATGCGACTTAAAGTCTTAAGATAGACTGGTTGACTTAAACTAAGGGGACCCCTTGGTGCTCTCTATGCTTGGCCTTCATGACCGCACCATAGCAGGCAGCATCCGGTTGAATCTTGAACCTTAGCTCCCAAACATGGGGGCTCCATGAAAAAAAAAGTATAAGTATGCATACATATGTACACACAGAGAGAGAGAGAGAGAGAGAAAGAGGCGCGAGAGAGAGAGAGAGAGAGAGATATGGCTTCCTTCAGGGTTTCGGCGCTTAGAGTAAGACGATCCAGGCGAGGGGTGTGGGTTCGAGAGTCTGTTGAGAAGGCCCACCCACCACCCCAACCAAAGCGTCTCGTCTCCGTGAACTCCATACGGGCTGCTTCAATGACTCAAGCTTCAGAAGTCACGAGATGGCCCGAAGCGTGTGAAACAGATTTCGGGATGTGGTATTAAGAGTGCAGGGAGTTCGCTCCGCAGGATTCAGGATTGGCTGGCTTGGGCCAGTTGAAAGCCCCGCAACATGCCAAAGCTCATGATACGGAGAACAACCCATCTCTAACCCAAGCCGGCAGTTCCATGCTCGAAAACAACATGCCATCCTGCCCCAAGTCCGACAGCACTTTCGGTTCCCTAACCCCTTGAAAAGTCGAGAGTCCAGAACCTGAAGTTTTGTCCGCCTGTGAACCATCATCTGGGCCTCTCTCACGATCAATCAACTCCGTTCCCGCAACAGCTTTGCACGAGGACTTAGGTCCTCAAGAAGAGGGGAGGGTGTACATTACAAGCCCAATGAGGCCTTGGCGTAAATATGTAATGCTGCGATGCTTTCGCTGAGCCAGCATAGCCAAGACGAAAGCCCCAACCTTCGACGAAAATCCTTACCCCAGTCATCCTGTTTCAGACTCCCAGAAGGTCTATATATATTACCGTTGGAATTAGGTAAAGAAAGTGCCCCAAAGACCATCCCTATAAACAAGCCCTGCTGGGAACACCCGAAGCACCAAATCGACAAGACTAGCACAGCATTGAAATGACGGCGATCCCTGGGCCGTCAGCCTCAAAAAGCCCATGCTATACTACCGAGGTCTAAATACAGAGTAGTATCCCTGAAAGCCCCTAGAGACTGATAGCATAAAATGCCGAGCTCTTATCAAAGCACTAGAGAAACTGTTAGATTTAGGCCAGGGCGACTCCAGAGCTCTGGCGAACCAGATTTCCGCCCCCTCGGGGTCGCCAGCTTCCGCAAAGGCATTTAGGAGGCCTGGGGGGGCTTCTCTGAAGGCTTCTCTTGGGTTTGTTTCGCTTCTCTGAGAGTTTCAGGGGCCTTAAAAATCTGAGGGACACTATACTATGCATCGAATCAGGAGGTACATGTTCTTCTCCGAGGGTTCTTTCTCGGGTTCCGTATGGGCGCTCTTTGTGGGTTTCTCTGAGGGTTTGCTTGTAGATCCCCTTACGCCTGTCGCGTTTCCACAACGGTGTCTGTAGTTTCTTCGCGTTTTCTGAGCTGTGAGTTGGGGTTCTGCATGGCCAAGGGCCGGGGTGTCGAGGGTTTGAGTTTGAGGGCTCAGGAAAGTTCGGGTTCTGGGCATGTGAGCTTCTTGGATGTTGTTGGGGCATAATTGATGTAGCCTCGACCTACGGATTTGGGGTTTTGGGTGTCGTAGTTTTCCGGCCCTCGGCGAAGCAGAATCGCCAGTTAGCTTCCGTCAACCCTGCCAGGACTACGCACAAGAAGGGCAGCACACTGAACGTTGCTACTCAGCTCAGCTACTCCTTCTTCGTAGAGGTAAGTCGGATTGTAAATTACCAGCGGCGCCATACTCACACCGAGGATGAAAATTATTGCCGATATTCCTAAGGAATGTGAACCAACTTCTAGCCATAGACTCCTTAGTATCAAGGACTCATTAAATCTAAACTCTGGACCATGCGAACTCTATAGTAGAATAGACGTATGCTCAAGGACACAACTTCGCCGAGCATCTGCCAAATGCCACAAGGTTCACTCGAACTCCAGAAGCGTGCATCCTTGTGAACCACATCTCCTGGGTAGGGCTTCTACTAGAGGCAAGGGTCCTATTTAAACCATGAATCAAAGCTCGCGGTGGGTTTTTTTGTTGTGGGTTCTCCTCCTCAGAGAGCCTATAGTTGAGCACGCTGACATCACCCCAGCCTGAAAACAAAACCCTACTTGTTTTTTTGATCAGTACCATCTGCCACCTGCTGCAGGGGTGTCGAGGCTTCGGGGCCGTTTAGAGGCCCAGCTACTCAAGGCCGTAAGTGCACCACATGGGCTGTGCTTCTGTACCATGCTTCCTGTTGCAACTTCCCAAGCGTAGGCTTGAAATATGTGCGGTGCAGGAACCACGTTTTTTTTTACGGCGACCTGACTAAGTAGGCCAAAAGACCATGAGACATAAGGCTGGGGCTTTGGGCTGTTTAGAGCCGTAAAAGGACACAGCAAGCGCCTTCAAGATCTTCTTAGATGCGAAGCTCCTACAAGGAGGAATGGGTGAACAGCAACCTTCAACCTGCAAGGGATCGCCATGCACCCTCAAGGATCATCCTCGCGGGGTTTTGTGGAGGGTTACTGATGATGGACACAATTATGCATCAGGAACACACCATTGCTCGCAAGGTAAGAGTGATGAGGTCGGCCAGGCTGCTGTCGATCACCGGTCTCAAGCTCTAGAGTCAAAAATCCTTACACCGGAGACTGTTGACTCAAAATCCTTTAGATAAAAAAGACTACGATGCTCCGATTTGGCTCGAGGATCCGCATCTCTCGGCGATCCTGCGGCTGCAGCAGCCTTCAGCACGGCACCATAGCCTCTTTAGGTTGGTGTAGGAAGGGTGTACAGCACAGAGCTTAAGCCTTTGTCAGGGCGTAGGACAAATTCAGGGCATTAGGTTTGGAGACAATAGGAACCTAAGAGTGTGCATCAATCACAGCCTTCAATGCTGGACAGCTTATTAAAGTTTCGATCCGCGAACTGCGTCTGCAAAATAATGCACAGCCGGGACCGGGGTTTGTTTATCTGCACTCCTCTTGCTAGTTTAGTTCTGCTGCTGCTCTTGACATCATCATCGGCGGTAGTCTTGACCGTTCCTGGTTTACGGCGTTCGTGCTCTTCAAGCTCCGCAAGCCAGGGAAGAGCTATCACTGAATGTGCGAGTTCTAACAAGATGCCCTAAGCCACGACAATAGTGTCGGCCCAGTCTCTTTCATCCAAACCCTGCGCCCGTTAGCCTTCCTCAGCTTTTGGTGCTGCTGTTGCTTGTGTATAGCCAACCGTTTGAGACCGAAACACCGCCGAAATTTGGATCAAAGTCACTGTGGTCGTCTGCGATGCGGCCATCCTTGGTCGTGCCCGTGCCTGTGTGTGTGTGTTGCATTGTGTTGTGTTGCGTTGTGTTGTGTGGTGTTGTGTTGTGTGTGTGTGCTGGTGTTCGTGTAGGTGCCTTGATTTGTTGCTTGAAGGGGGCTCTGCCTTGGGAGTCTATCTTGGGCCTTCTTGGAAACGAAACTGCAAGCTGCAATCAGAGCATGTCGATTCGGGCGGGCGGACAACGGCGTTGGGTCTTGGGTCTTAGGGTGCCGGGGTTTAGGCCACAGGCTGGGACCTGTGCTGATAATGAGCATGTACTTCTTGACATACAAAGCATAAGCATCACCCCTATCTGCCATGGCTATGGAAGGAGGGCACAGGCCTATAAGGCAGTAGAGATCTGGGTGTGGAGTCAAGAATCACTGAGCGAAGGGTTGCCCGCTTTCTAGAGATCCTGAAACCCTCGTGAGGCTCGGAACCCTAAACCCTGTAAGTCCGAATCCATTTGAGGCTCGTAGAAATGACACCTAACAATATCCCTAAACCCTAATTCCTTAGCTCAACTTAAACCCTAAGTCGATCCTAAACCCTAAACTTAAAGTCTAAACCGGTCCAAACGTAACCTCAGGATGCAGGGCAGGGGTCTGCTTCGAGCCGCTCCATGCTCGCTTCCTCAGTACAGGAGTATCCACTTTTTGGTCTAGGCTTCTGGGTGCTTAGGATTTGGGGCCCTTAATTCCGTAAATCCTAAAGCAAACATTGCCTAACAAAGCCCTTCCTCTATCTTGCCTTTCACCCTACAACACCCCTTGATAACCCTGACCAACCCTTCTACATCCTCAAAAGCAGCCCTTCAACCACAACCGTCTTTGTGACCGTAAATCCTCGCAAAAACTTGTCAACCCGGATGATAGGAGCCGTGTGCAAAAAAAACCACACAACCCTATCAATGCCAGCATACCTCTTAAGAATATGAGAGAAAAGCCTGACCCTGCCCAAGCGAAAGCTAAAGGATTCAAAGAGCCAACAAAAAACAACACTAGCCACGATAAAGGGACCGACAAAAAGTAGCAAGAAAGAACAAACACCCTCTACCCTCTAAGCCCTAAAATGGAAAACTAAAATTAAAAATCCGGGACCAAGGGGCCGCTGCGCGAAGGTCGCCGGCCTCGGCGGCTGCGTTGATGAGGCTCGTGAAGCCTTGGTTTCGGCGCTCACACTCGGAGCATATGGTTCGAGGTCTGCAAAGAAGTGAAACACTCATCAAGATCAAGACCCTTATAACACAAGCACAATAAAGTACAACCTCTAAAAGGGAGGGATGGGCTCAGGTAAAGGGCAATCTTGTAGAATCATTACGATTCAGACAGTAAAACTGTACGTGCATTGCAAAAGTCCAAGACTTGTACAACATAGCCAGGGTGTTTGCAGCAACAAGCGAAGTACAAATTAAATGCAAAATACCAAGGCTGTAGGGTTTAAGGGTCAAGGGTTTCGGGTTTAGGGCCCTTTGGTTCTGGTTTTATAAGCGGTTTTACAACTGGAAGGGTTCAGGGCCGTCGGTGCTTTATTTAATAAAGCGTTTGAAGTGGACTTACAAGAACTCCAAGACGGTTGCTCTTCGAAACACGACCGCATCCATGACCGCGAGAGTGTCCGGAAGAATCCGGAAGTGAATACTCTCCAGCAGCCATATAGAACTTACACATGGATCAAACCACTGAGGCTTGTTGGGAAACGCTGTACCTACGAGCCCCAAAACGCCCATACGAGTATGTACATGAGAAACAGAACCACAATCTATACCCGTAACATGCTAACCCGAAAGCCCCCAAAGCCTTGACACCTAAAACATCAGAAACCCTGCCATCCAGCGGCACCGCTGGCCGGGTGACCTTTGCTTTGCTTTTTGAGGTGAAAACTTAGGGTTTAGGGTTTAGGGTTTAGAGATTTAGGATTGTTTGGGATCAGGGGTTAGGCTTCAAGCGTTGCAGGATTTATGGTTTCACTTTGATGGCGGACCTTCTGTGACTTCGCCCTGCAAGCTTCGGAAAGCAAAGCAACATGTCGTGTCAAGCCCTATAATCTTTAAACCCTCAAGCCGTCATGATGTAGGAACCTGATTAAGAAACCATGGCCCTGAAACCCCACAAATCATCCGAATAACAGGTTTCTTAATCAGGTTCCTCATGGATCTAGGGTACAAGGGTTTATGTTTATGCGCCTGGGCGCTTCATGATCAGGGTATAGTGTGACAGGGGCCTGGGGTATAAGGCTTCAGGGGCTCAGGTTTAGTGTTAGAGCTCATTTTAGTTTCGACGTTGACGGTTTTCAGGTTGAGAGAGTGGGTTAGAGGGGTTTGCGCCCTGACCAAGATTACCAAGATGGTTCCGTCAAGTAGCTGGTCCAAATTGCCGGCACAAGGTACTACTACTACTACTACTACCACTACTACTACTACTACTACTACTACTACTACTACTACCACTACACTTCAACTACCTAGTTATGTAGGTAAGTCGGCGGGTAGGTAGGTACATTTGCCACGTCTGGCTCCTGTTCCCATGATGTCCCTACCGAACGTGTAACTAGAAAACTAAAGCCCTGTCCCCAAAAGCCCTAGACCTGCTTATTGGAAGTCCTTTGCGGCTAAAAACTTGATTCTTGTACCCGAGCAAAGCAAATGGTCAGTATTGGACCTACACCAATTTATAAATACCAAAACCATTTTTTGAACCCAGACTCTGCCATTCAGCTGGGAAGCAGCACTTACCAAAACCCTAAATACAAACCCACCTTGAACGCTAGCCCTCTGCTCAAACCCTGAATGCCTAATCTCAAAACTTTCCTAGACCTTCCGTCCAGGCCACAACCTCTGCTGCATCATCGCCTCGAGGACGCACTCCGCAGCGGCGAGATTGCCCTGACGTGCCCAGGCATCCTGGGAATCGGCTTTTCTTAGGGCCGTATCTCGGGTTCCACGGCATTTGGACTGTTTGTGGGCTGTGCGTGGTTCCTACAATGCCTGGCAGAACCCAGCGCAAACTACCAAGCAATGACTTGTCAAGGGCATTGCAGTGCCTCAGATGTCATCCAAGCTTCCAACAGGCTTCCATAGCTTACGTCCGTGGCGCTGATAGGGCCTGGGTTGCGTCCGCCGCGTCACGGAGAGTGAGCATCCACTGTCACTCAAACAATGTGAGGTACAAGGTAGATGCTGGAGCCAGCAAAACATCCAGAAATCTGCAGTAGGGCCTTCATGGAAGCGTCAAGCTGGGGAACATATGGTTGTTGTTCAAAATAAC